TTCTTTCTTTCTTTCTTTCTTTCTTTCTTTCTTTCTTTCTTTCTTTCCTATTTATTTTTAATATTGGAAGTCATTTCAAATTGTTGTCTTGCTGAATTATCTGGTAATTGTTCAGTTTCTTCATTAAGTTAGAAATTAGATTCTGGGACATGTTGATAATTAGGGGAATTTTTCTTTTCTTCAACCTGCACGTTGTATCTAAGTTACTGACTGCTGCACAATCCTCAAAATATTTAGAACTACTTTCATGCTTAACAGTTGTCAAGTTGTTATTTTCTTCAAATGATTTATTTCTTTTCTCTTCAAATGTATCTTATCTAATTGTGGCTAAATACTTCAATTTTTACTTTCATCAGTCCAAAGCATCTTGTCCCAAAATATTTCAGTTATCAAAGTTTTCTTTTGCATATTTTGTGATGGTGTCAGTAAAAAGATTTCCTGTTGATAATTCTTTCACACCATTATTGCTGTACAAGCAATGCCATTTCTTAATAGTGCTTCTCACATTTGAAATGGCTAGTTGGCAGAATTTTGAATTTAACCTTTCTGTGCTTTATAAAAGTAGAATTATCTTCAGATGCTAAGAAATGTTCAAAGAATGCCATGGGTGTTAAAAGTAGACAGCAGACTAATACTGGCATTGTGAGAGCATAGATATGAAATTTTATATGTCACTATTCAGACACTATGAACTTGCATCATTTCTATGATATTTTATTATAGTTTATCGTTTATAGCACAAGTAGTCTGAAACTTTCAGGAGAATAGATGATAGTCCTGTGTCATATATTAATGAAATAAAATGCTAAGTTATTTACAAAAGAATGTACACAATGAAGAGGTTACAAAAGTGTTTTGGCTCAGGTGTTGATCTTGTGATTGCATCTTAAAAATGGAAGATTTCTAGGACATTTCATCTACCCAGACTACTCTGGGATTTATTTGGCTAAAGTTGTGTCTTGAGTTGTTGAAGTGTCAGAGTATTTTTGAATTTATGTACCTGCAATGTGAATTCACCACAGATATACTAAGTATTGGGCAATATATTCATTTATACAATTTAGTTGGCCTGAGATGGAGCAGTGTATCATTGCTTCTTAACCCATTTCATTCAAGAATCTTTGATTTAGCCTAGTTAACATAGACTGACATTTTCAGAGTACAGCTGTGATTGATTTACATTTCAGCTATTTAAACCCTAATGGTTTGCCAATTGCACAGTGGCAAATAGGACAGCACTATAGAAGGTTAACATCATTGGCCAGAGGATCATTGGTTGCCCTCTCCCCTCTTTGGAACAAGCTTTATAGTTCCCACTGTTTTAAGAAAGTTCAAAACATTCTTAAAGTTCCATCTCATCCTGAGCACCCCTTTTTTTTAAACTATTATCATCTGGCAGATGGTACAGGATAATAACAACAAGGACAAATAAGCTGAAAAACAGCTTCTATCCCAGGGCAGTAACCATAGTGAATTCTACTGTATAGTGCAATATTAATGCAATATTGGATTTTCAATTCAACTGTATAGAATGTGAAGGATATGTATTTGTGTTTTACTTTTATAGTTATAATGTACACTGAAGATGGCATTTAATTTAGTTGTATAAGGTGCAATGACAATAAACTAAACTAACCTCCTATGGTGCTTAGAAAAGCCTAAAAGCAGCCTGGTTTAAAAAAAAAAAGATCCTAGATTATTCTGCTTCTCCTAGACATTAGGGGAGATTCTTCATTTTAAGATGTGTTCAGAGAATCTTTACCAGCTAAGTTACAACTCTTCATTCTATCTATTATTTTCCCCCCTCCTGTATTAATTGTTCCATTATTTTATCTCCATCACAAATGACATGGCCTTCATCTGTATTCCCAGTACATTTATAAATTGAAAACCTTCAGAATGACCTTGTTATAAACAATGAACTAAAAAAAACCATGAATGTCTGAATGGAGGCATTCCAGGTTTTAGAATTATATTATTATTTCAAGTTAAAATAAGACTACAGACATGTCATAGTGGGTTTAAACTATAGGGAGACATACTTGATTGAAACATAGGAATACCCTTGTAAGAATAAGAGCACGTTGATAAGTAGAAATAATAACAGAGAAGTGGTAGAGTCCTTTTCATTTATATGCTTATGACAGCCATATTTTTGGACAGCTTTAATTTTAATTCCTGAAGTAACAGAGTTGGACCTGATGACCTCCATCTCCCCTTTCAGTCCTATGTGATTCTACATTTCTTCTGTAGCTTGGATTTGTGAGTATTTGATAGAATACTTACAGTAACTGATGAAAAAATATTAGTGTTGTAGAAATTAATCCAAGAGCTTAATAAAGATAAGCAAGGAACATTAGAAGCGTAGCAGGAATTTTTACTTAGCACTAAAAATCAGAACAAAATACCTTCTACTAGGTTTTGAATATATTCCATAGCTATAAATAGAGAATCTACTTCTATGTTTTTGTCTTAACTCTACATGACTGTAGAAATAGCCTATAAATATGAATTGTAGCCTATAAATAGAGACAATAGCTTCTCTATTTATAAACTATGGAATATAATTCAAAATCTAGTAAAAGGTATTTATGGAACAGCTGTCATATTGAAATGGGGAAATTTTAAGTCTTGCACAATTAACATTCTTACATAGGTATAGACCACTCACAATCTTTTCTAGCATATTCTTTGTGATTTATAGTTTTGGAAAGGCCTATATATACACCAGGAGTGTCAAACGCGCATCATCACAGCGTCATCATTGCGACTTTTTTCTCCTTTGCTAAACTGGGCATGGGTGTGGCCAGTGTGTGACATACCTGGCCCGTGGGCTGTGAGTTTGACAGCCCTGATATACACTATTACTGTTACTTTGTTCCTGCCTGAGAAAAGATAATGAAGAGATAATGAAAATGAAATAAGATGTTTGCTCATTTGCACAGGCAGTTCTTGTTATCTACCAGACAAGTGGAGGAGTGGCTAAAAAGAGCAGAGCACTTTTAGAATTATAAAGGCAACTTACTCAAATGGCTTTTAGGGAGAAAGGATTTTATAAAGAGAAAGATTTGTCATCTGAAGTACATGTACAATTAGCAATTATGAACTGTTTTGTGTTCTGCCAGGTTCGGTAAGGACAAGCAATCAAGATGTGGAATTAGGAGGCAATGTCACTTTGAGATGTACTTCATTACAACATTCTAATATTTACCAAATTACATGGACAAAAAAAAAGAAGGGAAATGATGAAAACATTGCAACATACAAGGAAGATACAGGTTCAACTGTTTTAAAATACAAAGATCGAATCAATTTTATAGTTTGGAGCCTTCATGATACTGCTATTAATTTATTGAATGTGAGCACTGAAGATAATGGTTGCTATGAGTGTGCATTTCTTTTGTTTCCTGAAGGGCCTATCAAGGGACAACCCTGCCTTTCTGTTTATGGTAAGTCTGCCCAAATAAAACTAGCTCCAACAGGGAATTGATGAGGCCTTGTCTTTAAATGAGACACTATTATAATAAATTATGTGCGTTATTTGAGTGTATAGAGCACAACTCAGTCCATATTCATTTTATTTTACAGACATTTGGGAGGTTTTGTTTTTTGCAGGGGGGGTGTTTTTTTGGGGGGGCTACTGCAATGTTGCAGTTGATCTCTCTTGCAGTATGTCTAATTATTACCACCCATATAAGGCAGAGGCAGTTTTTAGTTCCCTCCAAAAGTTTAAACCACAATACCTTGCAGTTAGCTTAAGTTAGAAGATATTGTGTTTAGCACGATATTTGGCACCAACCAAATATTTTGAATAACTACCACAGTCTCTTGATATCAATTGAAATATAAAAGATCTGGAGAGTGAAAAGGATTCTATCTAGATGAACGGTATATTATGTTATGAGTCACAGCACTGATTTATATTTTATTGCATAAAATATAAAGAGAGCTAAGGGTACTTTGTATGATATTTGAGGATGTTACCTAGAGGTGATTATGTGAATTTTCTATCCAGAAGTCCACTTTCCATTTGAAAGCATGCATATGATCTAGTCGTTTCTTTATTCATGTTTTATTGTTCACTTGAGCTCCTATACTATATTACAAGAGTCCAATGGAGTGATATACTGTATAAGTCTATTGCTATTGCTATTGCTATACTATCAAATTTTGTTCTCGTGATTTGTGTCACAGATGATCTCAAAACATCTACAGACTACAACATCTCTGATAATCATTTGCATGCCAACTGTTTATCAACTGGTTTTCCAAGACCAAACATTTCATGGTTTCCATCAGGAGGTGTAAAGAAAGAAAAGGATATCACAAACCCAAATGGCACATTATCGGTCATAAGCAACATTTTTGTAAGCATGTCAAATGTTAAACAAGGGCTGACTTGCCACATTTCTCACAGAGGAAAAATGATAAGCATTGAAGTGCTAAAAAAAGAAAAGGGTAAGTTAACAGAACAGATAGGCCTAAAACCAGCACTTTTCTAAAAGCTGATAAAACTGTATGTCTGTATGTGGGAGACTGTTTGAAAATCTTATTTCTGCTAATATTTTTTTCCTTATAAAGGAGAGTATTTGTAGCTCAGGGTTGACATGAAGGGTTCTTGGTACTCTATGAGTTTGCTTGTTTTCTTGCAGAGATTTCATTACCCAAACTAGATAACATCATCAGTGCTAGTAAGGAGTACAGTTTGTGATCAGTTTATATTCTGGTGGCTTGTCCTATCAGTGTTGGTAGAGGTGGTCTTAGAGATTCTTTGGTTGGGCTGTTTACTGTTTGATTCTTTGGCAGTTAATTGATTGGCTTATTGTTTACTTGATTGTTGGTTTGATGTTAACCTTGGAGTTAATCTACAGTATGCTGATCTGGATGCTGATTGCTGGTGGAGAGGTGATCGGGTCCACACTGTTCCTTTTTTAGGCTGGGTGATAGTCTCTTTTACATAGTCTATAGTTGTTGTTAATGTCTATGTGTGTATTGGTGGCTGATTTGTCAGAGTGCCAGGCTTCTAGAAATTTCCTGGCATTTTTGGACTTGGCTTGGTCTAGGATGGTCATATTTTCCCCAATTGAAACTATGGTTAAATATGTCTATATGTTGTGAAATTAAAGTATTTTCGTGATGAAATTCTTTAATTTCAAAACATACAGACAGATTTAACATCCCCTCACCAAATGGAGGTCCTTCACCAGGGCAACTGCAACACACCTTTGTAGGTTCTAATGGGGTGGACTGATGAACAGGAATTTCAATAATATAGATCCCATTCTATACTATCGGATGCAGTAACATTCTCTTTTTTTTTTCATGTAGAACGTACAAAAAAGGATTTTCCTGTGATACCAGTTGTATTGGCTTTGATTCTTGTGATCCTGGTTATTGTTGTGGGTGTATGCTGCTGGAGACGACAAAGGAAAAAACATAGAGGTAAATTACTCAGTTTTATAAACCAGAATTTGTCAAACATTTTTATCTTTACTACTTTACTTCTTGATTTCATTTAGTAAATTCTCTTCATATGATTACAGAATATGAAATTACTTGGATTATATCAATCAAAGATATTGGTATGGGGTAGTTTGCGCAATCCTACTCCCCATATATGTGCTAATATAGGAAAAAAGAGCACAATCCATAATACTATATTGGAACAGATACTAGTTCCACCCAATTGATTTGTTTGTTCTCACTGGTAATTTTTTTTTTACCAGTTTAGATCTCTAAAAGACATTTCAACCCCGCTGACTGTGGATAAAATAGATAAATCCTTAGGATACATCTATGCAAACATTCTTTAGAGGCACATTGCTAGTACATTCTAATTCCCTACTGTATTTGGGAGAACTTAAATGTTGGAGGAGAGAAAATATTAGAGACTGGCTTTTTGAAAGGGATGCTAATAAAGACGCCACTGTTGTACAATCACCCAGTTTTTTAATCTTTGTATCCGCATTATAAAAGTACAGAAGTTTTCCCCAGTACCTAACATAACCAGTGCTTCACTCAGAAGGTCTTTAACATTCTTGCACATCATGCTCCTGCTCATCTCAAAGATTTTATAAGCTCTATTTCAAAATGCCTATGAACTTGTGTGGTGGTCAAGTGAAGGACATTATCCATTATGTTCTCCACTGTCCCATTTACAATGAGATCAGGGCCCAATTATTAATGGCAGATGAATTCAAGGACGCTGACTTTGAAATACTGAATTATCTTCTTGCACGTTGGTTTCCAAGTGTCAGCAACCAAATTCCTACTTTTGCTTTGCAGTCATTTAAACTTAGAAAGAAATACTACTTCTTATTTGTTGCTTTGGCTTTATTTTGTTGTAACTTGTTCTAATCTATTATTTTTATCCCTTTATCTTAAACTTTCACTCTGTTATTGTTTGTTCATGGCATTCCTATTTTATGACTTGTGGCTACTAGAATAAACTTATTTTCTTATTTACATTCTACCTGTGGCTTGTGGGCAACAGTATGTTGGCTTGCAGTGTACTGCATTACATAGGATAACATTAGCATGTTTTAAATAAAACTGGGTTTTTGCTGTGCGTGTAACATACTGGCCAAAATTCAGCAAAACAGATGATTAGCAGGAATGTTACAGATAACCCAGACTCAGAAGCAGCTAAAATTGGTTATCCTTTATCTGCTATCTTACTATAAAGAGTTACATGAAAATCTTGATTAACAAAGCCATGATGGATGGCAGAGCCAAATATATATAGTCTGGATCTGGTGATGCCACAGTATTACAACTTAGAACAAATGAGGAGGAAGTGGTAAAGGTTTGAACCAATGATTTCAGTGAAATAAAGAGAAAATGAATACAATGTAGGTAAAAGAAGAAGAAATCGAAAGTTGTAGTAGAACTTAAAGAACTTTAAAAAGGTGCTTTGATTTATAAAACTGAATGCATGCTAGGAAGTTTATGTACATGTTTATTTATGAATGAAAGTGTGAAATATTTGGCTAAAATATTAACAGGTTTTATCTAAATGGTTTTGAATGTGTATCAGAGTAAAAATCCATAGGTCACTGATAATTGCATAAGATTTTATTGATTTGCAGCAACAAGA